AAAATCTATGTTCAGAAGTCCTTGATGTTTTCAAAGTCAGAGAAAGGGTTAAAGCTAATGTTGTGTACTGTTGTAAATTATATTATTTAATAAAGTTTTGTTGTTTGGGGAAAGTTTAAAAAGCAAACAAGGTTTTCATTTAACAATTTCTCTGCCTATTATTTAGTGGCATTGGTTTTCTATTCACAACCTGTCAACATTCTCATTTTTTTTCCTAGTTATTATGTTTTCACTAATCCAGCTTCTGGCACTGCTCATTATAACAAAGCTTCAGTTCTACTACCTACTTTTATAAAATATTAGGATTGTTCTCTTGTTCTTATTGGACTATTGATTCACGGTCTGTGAAGTTCCCATGATCACAATTAAGTGTTCTGGGATTGCTGTTCTTTTCAAAGATATTCATAATTTTTTATAAACCACACAGTCAATAAAATACAAGTAAACATCTTTCAGGTATTCTCTTCTGTCAAGAACGATCAGATTTCAGCAATAATATCCCTCTGCTTAGAGCTTCTTCTGAATCCTACTTGAAATTCTGGAACTTCCTTGTCAATGTGCATTAGTACAAGAGTAGTAGTCTCTTACATGCATAAAATAACTCTTTGGCTTATGGCATTATAAGGTGTTTGTTTCACAATATTACTACTTATGTGTAAAAAGTTAACACCAATTGAAGTGTTTCAACAAACAAAGGGTAGCCCTGTATGTGTTTACTGTTAAGTCTGGGCAAAGGGGGCCAAAGAGAAGAATGAAGAATTCAGAACTCAAATGCTGATGGCCTTGCCTGCTGCTGATAAGAAGAGCAAACAAACTTGCTTGTCTAGCTGAGCTAGCAGGTGGCTTGTAAATCAGAGTGGAATGTCTCTCCCTAAAGACTCTGTTTATAAAAATCCTCCCCAGTAAGTTCACAGTGTGACTTCCCATTCTGCATCTCCAGGATGAGGAACTCATCTGGAGCTCTCCCTCCCCCCCCCTTTAATAAAGCTGCATTAATCTTTCTTTCTGATTTCTTCTTTAAGTCTGATAACATAACATTTACTTATCTATGTAAAAAAATTTGGACAGTTAATTGGCCAAATGACTGGAAGATATTCCTATTTGTGCCCATTTCAAAAACAGGTGAGCCAATAGAATTTGAACATTTTTAGTAATAGAGTTAACATCACATGCAGGCAAAATCTTGCTGAAGAATATTCAAAGAAAACTGAAGCAATACATTGGCAGAGAGTTGCCAGATATTCAAGCTGGTTCAGAAGACGTTGAGGAATAAGAAGTATTATTGCTGATGTCAGATGGATCTGTCTGAAAATGGATTTGGCTAGAAGCACCAAATAATAGAAAGATATGTACATGACTGTGCAAAAGCATTTGGTTGATCCATTAAGTCATAGAAAACATTGAAAAGAGTAAGAATTTAAAAGATTTAATTGTCCCGCATCAGGAACATGAAAGCAGCTCAAATGTACAACCACAATCAAATGGATTGAAAAATGGTGGTACATTCACACAAAGGAATATTATGCAGCACTCAGGAGCAATGATTTTGAAAAATATTATATAACTTTAGAGAGACTGGAGAGCATTATGCTAAGTGAGCTAACTCAGACTCATAAGAACAAAAACTGCATAAGACCATTACTGTAAAAAAAAAAGAAGGAAGTATAACTAGTAAAACATGCATACGGACCCAATGGAGGACGGGATGGGAGCAGAAGGGCGAGAATAGGTAGGTGTGAAATCAGAGAGTTGCACAATTTGGTGGGTAGAGGGAGGGGCTAAAGGAAATGAGAAAAATCTGGCAGGGACCTGAAAAGACAGGGTAATGATGAGCATAGTTAAATGGTGATAAATTTTATAAAAAAATAATGTGTGGGAATGACTGCTCGAAACACAATGTGAATGAACAAATAGTGTGAAACACAATGTATATGAACTTTGTTATGTCTCACATGCTTTGGGCATCTGGCCAGGAGGGACTGGTCCTTAGAGAAAGACATCATGATCAGAAGGGTGGAAGGAAGACCCCAGATGAGATGGATTGATACAGTAACTGTGGTAATGGGGGTAGGGGTGTCCTGAGACTGGCTCAGGACAGGGCAGGCTGAGCTGCTGTACATAGAGTCATTATGAGTCTCAGACGACTTGACGGCACATAGTAACAACCGCAACAAATAAACTAATAAAAAATAATCTTATTTTTAAAAATTATGCCATTCAAAATTTAAATCAAGAAGTAGTAGTTAGAATACAATCAAGGAACAATGGATGATTTAAAAATCAGGAAACACATACATCAGAGTTATATATTTTCTCCATACTACTCCATCTGTGTGTTTAGCAAATGATTCAAGAATTTGGATTACATTTAAAAGCATGTGACATCAAGATTGGAGGAAAACTCGTAAACAACCTATGTTACGCATATAGCATAACTTTGCTTGCAGAAACTGAAGAAGGCCCAAAGCAATTATTTAACAAGATCAAAGACTACAACCTTCAATATGGATTATATCTCAACACTAAGGAAATAAAATTCTTCACAAATGTAACAATAGACAACAACATGATAGACTGATGTAAAAAATTTCCTTTTACTTGAATCCATAATCTACATGTGGATAGCACCAATCAAGAACTCAAAAGGACAAATCTGCTATCAAGAACCTCTTTAAAGTACTAAAGAACAAAGATGTCAGTTTCAAAATGATGGTTTGCTGGACTCAAGTCATGGTATCTTGCTTCATATGCATGTGAAAGTTGTACAATGAGTAAAGAAGATCAGAGAAGTATTAGTGCCTTTGAGTTGTGATGTTGACTAGGAGTATTGAATATATAATGGACTTCCCAAAGAAAAAACAAATCTGTGTTGGAACAAATGCAATAAAGGTGTCCCATAGGAAAAAAATTGTGCAACTCGCATACTTTGAGCATGTTTTCAGGAAGGGTCTGCTTTGAAAAAGACATCATTTTTGGGAAAGTTAAGGGTCAATGAAAGAGAGGAAGACTTTCGATGAGATGGATTGACACAGTGACTGCAACAATGGGTTTGAGGATTGTCGAGGTTATGAAAATGGTTCAGAATAGGGCAAGCTTTTGATCCATTGTTGCTATGTGTTGTAGTTGACTTGATGACACCCAACAACAAAAAGTTGCATTATCTTTTAATTTTTGCTTTAGAGTACATATTGATTGTTTGGTATTATATAGCTGTGGTGTTTTTTGGTTGCTATTTCTTTGGTTTGTTGTTTGTTTTTGATGTACACAGTACTCATGAGTGATGTTGTTTATTTTATTATCTCATTTGTTGTTTAACTGAACTCTCCAGAAGTTATTCTAGTTTCATGTTTTTAAAATGTCTTAAGGATGTATGGCGCCTTCTCAAAAGGCTGCAAATAGAAATACCATTTGACCCAGCGATTCCACTACTGAGAATATACCCTGAATAAACCAGAACTGTCACCCAAGCAGATATATGCACATCCATGTTTGTTGCAGCTTTGTTCACAATATGAAGGAGCTGGAAACAACCTAAGTGCCCATCAACAAATGAATGGATAGAGAAGCTGTGATATATTCACACAATGGAAGATTATGCTGCATTGAAGAACAAGGAACTCATGTAATATTATTCAAAATGGGTGACCCTGGAAGACATTATGCTAAGTGAAATATCTCAGTCACAAAAAGACCAAATATTGCATAGTGCCACTGTTGTAAAACGGGACTGACATTAGGGTTGAGGGGAGACTGAAAAAGGGATAAGTAATGCATACTTCATTGAAACAGATGAAGGAGAGAACTGCTTAAAAGGGATGTATGATTAGGTATTGTTGTCAAGACAAGAGTCCAGAATGAAGGCTGCATAGTGGAGTGGACTCAGGAGGGGGATTGCATAACAAGGAAAGAATGTTTCTTTTGCTTTTCAAAGAGAAGAGCAAACTGGGGCTGGGAGGGGTGGGCAGGGAGAAAAATGCAACAATGAATGAATGGAAATCCAAAGGCTCTGTAAACATTCATTAAAATTAATTTTCAAAAAAAGTCTTGAGGAGGTAGTCATGGAGATTTCTCTGGTCTATATGAAACTAGTAAGTTTAGCATTTTTAAGATTTTTATGACTATTCTACATTATCCTTATCATCTCATTCCATCTGGGACCATCTGTCAGTAGTGGCAGCCAGGCACTATCTAGTTCTTCTACTCTCAGGACAGACGATGTGGTTGGTGAGGGCTGTTGTTGTTACATGCCATCAAGTCACCTTCAA